CCCCAAAACCCCAAAACCCCAAAACCCCTGAGTAGTTATAGCATAGTGTATATTAGAAACATTTTAAATTAAATATAGAAATAAAACTTTACCTTTTCTCTAAATAAAACTTACATCACTATAAAAAGAGCGCAAGAATCAATAACTTATCTTCATACATCATCGTAAAATATCTCGTTGAGTCCCATGCCGAGAGTAAAGAAGTATATCTCTATTATGATCATGTAAACTAGCATATACTCCAAGTTAAATACTTAAGGAAATATTCCCTCAAGAATAGCGTAAGCCCAACCACACCCTATTAGAAGCATCATGTTTACTAAAATCTCTGCATCTTCAGATTTTGTAAGCTTTCTGCCTTTGCCATAGAAGTTTATAGTCAAAATATTCAGGACGAAATCAGCCATCAATGGAGAAAGCATAATAAGATAGTTGGAAAAATCCTATGCATAATTAAGGTGCACAGTCAAATTAACAAAGAATGCGATCAGCAGTACCATATTTTGAATGAGCATATTGGGCAATCTTTGAGAGTAACTTTCTATCTTTTGATAATAAAATAGGATAACTCCAAGCCAAATCAAAGCAAGAACTAGTGTCACTGTTGCAGCAATATCTGCCTCCTTCATAATAAAAGGGAATAACTCAACTAGAGCAGCTAGACTAAACAAGCCAATGAGAGTTTTAAGAGTCAATATCTTTAAAGCCATAAAAGCATAGTACCAATACTTATTTTTCACGTGAATATTCAGCAGATGTCTAGAATGCCTCAGAATGATCAGAGTAATTAGGAATAATGATATCTCAAGAGGGATAATTATGAAGACCCAGTACCAATCCAATATTTTTTTCAGTTTCAATACACCTAATAGTTCAAATATGATAAGAGATAGGAGAGACATGAACATTATGTAATCATCATTTTCCTACTAATTCTTCTATTTCATCTTGAGGGAGTATATTCTCATAGCCGATGAGTTATCATCGATTCCCTTGTCTACTTCTATGTCATTTATTATTGAATTTCTGATTGATGATGACCTTGATCTCAGTTATCTTATGTTGCGAACTCTTTCCAAATTCTCAAAAGATTGATCACTCAGATTAGTCCCATAATTCAGAGGGCTATTATACCCTTCCTAAGCAAAAGGCGTGCTTTCTCTTCCAGTTCTTTACTAATTTGGTTAATGATACTAAATATGAGGCATGTTTTTCTGAGAGGGTCTGGATTAATATGTTCCTCTCAAAACTGAGACTTTTTCTTCCTCCTGATCATCTGAGTTCATTTTCTTTTATATTAATTAATTTTCCTCTACTATATAAAATTATAGTGCTGTGGGGTTTTGGGGTTTTGGGG